CACAGCTCCTTTTGAACTTTTTTACTCTGATTTTTTTTTCCTTAAAAATCCTTTCGGGGCAGGGGGGTGGAGGGGGACGGATAACAGAAAGGCAGCCATGGAAAATGCACACAACTGCTCGATTCTTAACGTGTGCAAGAAACCCACATCTGGTGTATGTCTGACGTCTATAACTCCTGTTAGTGCTGCAGAGCAACAAGAGCTCCCTGAGGGAGTGCAGTTCCCATCGCTGCTAGCAGGCACTGCCCGTGCAAATTGCCGCTGTTCCCGATTCCTGGCTGCAGGAATTGTTGCAGGGAGGCCGCCAGGCCCTGACCTTCCCTCGCAGCCGCCTCCGACCCCTCACTTTCCTCCACGCTTGGGCTGTGCCTCCCCCCCGCACGCAGCTGCTCCCTTGGGTCAAGACTGGAGATCCTAACAGGGCACAGTCAGCCTGGAAAATGAGAGGCTGGAAAAGCCCCAGAGTTCTGCTTCTGAGGCTGCAGCACTCGGGACTACGAGGTTCAGGAGCATTTTTGTTTCGTGCCGCAAGTGGAAAAGATCTGAGCACGGGGCAGCGAGCCCTTCGCACGCTGCCTGGTCATGTTGCTGTAAATAACCCACCAGCCCTGGCGGGCAGCGTGGCTGCTTCCAGGTGCGCGGCAGTATAAAAACCTCTGGAGCAGGCATCGGCCTGCGGGAGCCTCCCAGCACCCTGCACCACAACAGGTAACGGCACTGCTCCACTGCCCTAACCCTAACGTGGCTGCTTCCTGCTGACTAACAAAGGAACTCAGCTCTGCACTCCTTGCCTGCTCTGCCCAAGCACACCTAACCCATTGGTTTTCTGCATTTGGATGCATGTACCCTGTGGGCTCAAATATCATAAGGGCGTACAGCAGTGCTCTGGGCATATATATACATACACACACACACGTGCATATTAGGCAGTGTATGGGAACTTTGCACGAGTGCTCAGAAACAGAGTGCATGCCCAGTCCTAACTCACACTGCAGTGCAACTGCGCTTCCCTTTCGAGCAGATGGAAGTGACTTTTGCCTGGTAATTCTGACTACAACCAGCAATGCAGTGTGACCTTGTGCCAAGAAAAGGGAGAAGCCTTTCAGCAGAGCTGTGCTCACAGCTAAGGACCGAGTGACACAGTACTACTGCTCAGTAACCTACTTTTTTTATTTCGGGCCATGCGGTCAGATCCCATAACTCTTTCCAAGCCATGAATCTCAGAAGTTGAGGCAGAAAATTTATTAGAGAGGATAAAGCTGAATAAAGCTAAAAGCTGAATAAAGCTAAAGCTGATAAACTAAAAGGAGGCTGAGGGGAGACCTTATTGCTCTCTTGCAATATCTGAAAGGTGCTTACAGAGACAGCGAGGTGGGTCTCTTCTCACTGGTGACAGGACGAGGGGAAATGGCCCTAAGTTGAGCCAGGATGAGTTTAGGTTGGATACCAGGAAACATTTCTTTACAGAAAGGGTTGTTAAGCACTGGAATAGGCTCCCCAGGGAGGTGGTTGAGTCACCATCCATGGCTGTGTTTAAAATCCGTTTGGATGTGGTGCTCAGGGACATGATTTAGCGGAGGGTTGTTAGACTAGTATGGTTATGTCATGGTTGGACTCGATGATCTTGAAGGTCTTTTCCAACCTGAGGGATTCTATGATTCTTTAAAGCGTTACCATAAGGTTTATTACCATCTTACAATTTAGTCTGAAGCATTTTATTACCTTGTCAGATAGATATAATTTTGTGACTTATTCCATCTTTTTAAAGTTCTGAAGAAATCAAATGTGGTGTTGCAACTTATTTTGTTGGCAGCAAAGTCAAAGACTGTTAGTGTAGCCCCCATGAGTTTAAACTCTTTGAAAACCACAGAATTTAGGTGATGATACCCTTCAGAAACACTTTGCCAATAAACGACCTGTTAACCACCACAAAGAGCCAGCAGTTTCTAAGGGAACAGATTTTGCTTGCCATACTGTCTTCCCCAAATTAAATGTTTATAAGAGATGTATCACTTTCAGTGAAATATGGATCAGAAAAACTGTCAAAACTGTATGAAATATCCATTCTAGTAAGACAGCAGCAACTTGACCATCCTGCACATGATGATGCAGATACTGCCCACATGCAACACGAGCACCCAGTAGTGACCTGTGCCCACAGCTCTCAGGTAGAGTTGGTCATTTACAGTAATAAACAAAAGCTGTTCATATATCAATATACTTGAATCCAGAGTAAATGTAGTTTGTAGCAAAAAACAAATAAACAACTAAAAAAACCCCTTCAATTTATGAATCACTAATAGCTGTGGCATTAGGATGCATGAAATAATAACTTCCTATTATGCAAAAGCAACACCTACCAAAAGATATGAATGATGTTACTGTGGCATCCAGAAGCCCGGCATGATGTATCTATCACTATGAATAAATGCAGAGTGCATAATCTCTTCTCCCAGACTGCCATCTGAGAACTTGGGCACCTGAGGGACTTCAGGGCCAGACCAGGCCCACCAGTGTAATTGATGGTTATTTTTCAGATCTCTTGACCCTTTTAAGAAGGGCTTTAATAAAAATGGCAAAGCACCTTTATGAACATTTAAGCCGACTACTATTCCAGAACATAGTGGAAATGGTAAGTGATGGCCTGAACCAGTGATTGAGCACCTAGTGGGAAGGCAGGGCCAAACCAGGGGAGCACAGCTGCATGCAATGCACCTGAGTGACTAAATGGGGTGGAGCCAGGATCCACCTCTTCCCAGACCTCATTTAAGGGTTGGCAGGGAAAGAGAGGCATTACTTGCTGGAGATCTCTGTCTATCTGAGATCTTCCAAAGATAAGCAGCTCTTTTCCTTCTTTTCTATATCTGTGGCTGTTGCATTTGGGCTTGTTCTCATTTGTTGTAGCCAACGACTTTGCCACTCTGCCATTATTGTCCCATTATAGCATTACACAGAGGATCTCAAAGAACGAAACAGGAGAAAACATAACAATTTTTAAGCGCAACAGAACATCTCTCATTTAGTTTAGAATTCAACATGCTCATACTGAATGATACCAGAGAAGCTATTTATTACAAGTGCTTAACAGTGGAGCAGCAAATACACATTTACTAAGCTGCCTCAAATATGATCTGTGGTACTCACGTGGCCAACTGTAAGTCTGAACTACCACAGTAAGAACTTGGTTTTTTTTTTTTTTTTTTTTTTTTTTTTTCATATCTGGAGCTGGAATGAGAGCCACTGCTGAGAACGGGTATTGAAAATGTGAGGTTGTATAGAAACTGTTACTGTTCTCTGAAGGGGCACAATGCCAAAAGTGGGGAAAAAAAATGCCCCAAATGCCAGGAACTGGCTGCTGTAGCTCCAGCATTACCTTCTATCTTCAATCTCCTATGCCTCTGCTGTATTTTGAATTATACACAAAAGGTGTGCAGCCAGAACTCATTACCTGCCAGATAGAGGCCCGCTGTGGAGGAAAAACACAAAACAAAATCTGCAGAATTCCAATTACTTAGCATTCTCCCTTTTGAATTGGTAAAAAAAAAAAAATAATAAAAAAAAAATCACCTGCCGTAACTGTGAACAAACACTACTACAGGAGTCAGCACACAAGTTTTGTGCCTGTGAATAAAGGGAATAGTAAGGAATATATCAAGCATCAGTAGAACTGCAATGGTGTCAGTGTCGTGGGTGCAAATAAACCACCTCCACACATCAACTAAAACTACCTGCAGACACTGCCAAGCTTCTGCCTCAGGGACCAAAGGAGATGCTTAGAGGAACCTCCAGCAGTGTGAGGCTACCCAACCCAGTCGTACGAGCCTGGGAAGAGCCAGAGCAGGATGGGGAGAACCCACAGCCAGCTCTCCAATCATCTTATACAAAGGAATTGCCCTCAACTTTCTATACATATATATATTTCTATTTCAGTTCCATAATCTTTGCACAGCAGCTGCCATTTCCCAACACAATGCAAAGAGCAACAGATTGCCAAACAGTGGAAGAAGAAGCCTGTGAAGAGCTGTGTGACTCTGAGACTTACAGCTCCAACTGCTCATCAACAGCAGAATCCAACTCCGGTATAATCCTTTCTAATACTGTAATTGCTGTGTCCTGCTGTCATTTCATTGCTTCATTTTTCTGTCTTTGGATAGTAAATGTCAATCTGTCACTCTTCTCTCCGTGAGCTCTACTTTTCCCAGTTTTTTTTTTTCCTCTGTTGTAATTTATTTTTGGAACAAATCTAGGAAAAGTATTCTAACTCCATAATTGACACTCATATTGTAAAAAGCCTCTGGATTTTATTTAGACATCAGAGAATTATTTCTCAAGCACCGCCAGAGAGCTGATTATAACATAAATTGGTTGGGCTGGCACTGCTGAAGCTGTGGTATTACAAATTTTAACACAAGCTAAGCCACTTTGCGTGAACACCGACCAAGAACTGCAGGCAGGCATCAATCAAAATCCATGCATTCCAGAGCAAAATTGTCCTTTGCAGTTGAATGTAGTATCATCTATGCATATCCTGCTACTAGGCTTCTAATGGCTGCACAGTCATTATGTGCTCTGATTTCCAGTGAGTTTGGTTGGAGCAGTTAAGCTGAGCTATCTTGAACATCCACCCTACAAGCCTACATGCTATGATGAAACACATTAGCACTACACTACAGTAGGACTGACACTTGCTCAACAGCAGCATATGTTTTTTCAACATACACTGAAGAAGTGTTTCAGAACCCTCTTTTTGTAGAAGGGTTAAAAATTCAAGAAACCCAGCTCTTTTATTGAGCGGCAGCATAACAGGTTACAGCATAAGTGGCAGTTACTCTTCTTTCTGAAACATGAAGCTTAGCATTCTGTATCTGCTGGCCATCTTCTAGCAGGCATATCAAGTTCATTAAATATATTACTATCTAAAAAGATTTGACTATTTGCTATCTGATTTTAAGAGTCATTAGGAAAAAAAAAAAAAAAAGGAAAAGTACTTAAATCCCAACCATAACATGAGCTGCAGAAGGCAACTTCTCTGTATTTCATATTTTGGTATCTGTAAAGTGCCATGTAAACACTCAATCACAGAAACAACTTAAAAGCTTGTCCAGTTCCAGCCTGCCCCACCAGCTCAGGCTGCCCAAGGCCCCACCCAGCCTGGCCTGAGTACCTCCAGGGATGGGGCATCCATAAGTTCTACTGGACAGCCCGTTAAAAACACTGCTTCTGCTCCTTCAGCAGCCAGACTGCCAACATCGGGAGAGCAGATGGTCTTGAATCCCATCACCTGACAGCTTTTCCAGTGCATGTGCTCATGTACAATATTCACAAACTCCTTCTCCTCCTTTAAAAAGCTGTGCATTAATACATGCATATAAAATACCCATTTCATCTTTTCTCTCTCACAGATTCACCAGTAATTCTTAAAATATTGCAGAACTGGGCTCCTACAGTTTCCCACTACTTTGACAAAGAGCATTATATTTATGCAGGCCAGCACATTGTCATCCAGGAATCTATAGAACACTTTGGAGCAGTGGTATGGCCTGGGGTAAGTACTCAGTATGGCATCCAGGGAGTTGACGTGACTGATAAATCAGAAATGACAATGGCAGACAAACTAGTATTTTTTTAGTTAACACCTATTTCTTGTGAGGAACTAAACTGTGAAACACTAGAGCAGAAAGCTTTGCCTTACACTGATTTGGTAGTTTGCACCAAAAGAAATGGGGCATGGAAGTGGCATGTAGGTAGTAAATTATTTCCACTTACAGAAGTAAGAAAAAAAAAACAATGTGCACACACCTTCCTTTCTATTTGTCAAATGGATAAAGATATTGAGGAAAAAAATAAGTTAAAATTGTTTGGAAAAAATTGTTGCTTCTTCCACATTTCCAGTCACTCTTGGGAAGCAATCAATCAGCGTTACAAAAAGGAGACTAAAGAAGAAAATTGTGAAAGATTAAATAAGGTATTTTAAAATAATGAAAATGTTTCTTTTAAAGAAGAGCCTGGAAGTATTCCAGTGCAGTATGGAAAATCATACTTGCAAACAGGTCTTTTCCAATCTTCTTTCCTCTTGCTGCAAAAAAAAACTTTATGTAGACTCAAATGTGGCTCTGGAGGAAAAAAGGGTGTTTCTTCCCTTTTCAGATCTACTTTTATTTACTTTTATGGGAAAAGCTCACCAACAATGTCTGACAAAAAAAAAAAGATAAAAATAAAGTGTATGGATAAATGAAACGGTATCTTAATCTGGAATGTCAGAACATCAGTTCTCAAATTAACCAGGTGTCAGAATGCAGATGGTAAAACTTTCCAAGAAAAGCGCGAGGTTGTGCAAATTGGGCTGGTGATTCATGAGTTGTCAGCCTGCCCAGAGCAGGTAGACAGCGCTGCATTATGAGAAAGCATGGGAGTTAAAACCCTAACACCAATCCAAAGACGACATCTGTTTATGTTATTTATCAATAGAATGGTTCCCATCTGTACACTACCTATCTTGAGCTGTGAGAGGAATCATAAAAGATATACATGTCTGCTGCAAATCCATTACCTCATAAAACCTAAAATTAATAATAAATTAGTTTAGTTGGATTGCTTGACATAAAGAACAGGACACAATTTTTCTTTCCATATTATGTTTATGTTACAGCCATCAGTGTTTTCCACTGTATAAAAAAATACAGTATAAAAACATCAAATTAATTTTTGTGCAACTTAATTGATACCATCTTATGAATACGTGGTAACTATTTCAGGCACTGGCTTTGTCGCAGTATCTGGAATCAAATCAAGAACGATTCAACCTCAAAGACAAGAAAGTTTTGGAAATTGGTGCTGGAACAGGCTTAGTTTCCATCGTGGCTTCTATCTTAGGTCAGTAAACTATTTCCTTTCAGATTTCTTATGAAACAATCTAGAACTGTGACTGCCACTTGAAAGCAATGAAGCAACAGATGAAATTAATACATTCGTCACTGCTTTTTAAAAAATGAAAGCAAGTTGAACACTGTTTTGTTAATAAAGATTCTAGTTATTGTTGAGGGGGAAGCAGGGGAAGTAATATCAAAAGTTTGTATCTTTAGGTTTAACTATATAGCTCTGAATTAAAACAAATCTATGTGTTCCTTAGGAGCTTATGTTACAGCTACTGATTTGCCTGAAGTTCTTGAAAATCTCTCATTTAACATTTCAAGAAATACACACAACATGAATACGCACAAACCTGAAGTAAGAAAACTGGTGTGGGGAGAAGACCTCAATGAAGATTTCCCTTCATCAACTTACCATTATGATTTTATACTGGCAAGTGATGTTGTATATCATCATACTGCTCTGGATGCCCTGCTAGCAACAATGGTGCACTTCTGCCAGCCAGGGACAGTATTACTGTGGGCAAATAAATTCAGATTCAGTACAGACTATGAATTTTTGGAACAACTTTACAATATATTTGATACATCCATCCTAGCAGAATTTCCAGAATCAAATGTCAAGTTGCTTAAAGCCACGGTAAGGGAGAACTGAAGAAAAAAACAACTGCTAATTTTGATTTCATGCCCGCATCTTGCAGTTTGGAATGTTATGTGCAATTATGGTATGCCCTCTGTGCATTTACATCTGTGAAGTTGTAGCTGTAGCTGAACTCTGCACGTTTTGTTAAGAAATCTGGCAAGACAGCAATATAGCTCATTTGTCTTGGGTTCATACTTACAACCTATTCAAACAGACCAATTCGCTCCACTGGAGGAACAATGTCAGTAAGTAGTCAGATAGCAGGGGGACATTAACAGAAAGCATTGATCTTCTAGGCTGCACTGAACTTCTGCTGTTTGGAAGGTGTTCTCTTTCAGCAAATTTCATTTACATACTCTTAAATGAACCAATATTTTTAGCTTTATTTGTTTTTATCACTTATAAAATAATCTTTTAAAGTATCAGAGCGCACATGGTGTTTTTTTTGATCGTCAGTTTTGCACATTTATTCTGTTGTGTTTTACATTTTTAACATTATTAAACATATATGTATAGCTTTACAATACCTGGTCAAGATTTAACTGTCTGGCACTTTATACATGTATCAGCCTCTCCTGATACTCAGGTTCACATGGATTTTTGAGTTTGCCTGAAATCACTCCAAAATGAAGATTTACAGGAGCACCTATGCATCAGCAATTCTGAGCTGCATGTATTAACAGTTTCAGAGGTTGAATTTTTCTTTAAAAAAAAAAAAAAGAACAAAACCACAAATGTAAACTCTTGCAAACAATACGGATAATTATGTCCCATTACTTTTGTCTAATAAATAAGATTTTAGCTACTCCTGAAGTAGCTTTAAGGCCTTCATACAATTGAAAATGAAACTAAGATCAAATGTGTTAAAAGTCATTTTACTGTAAAAAATACAGAGCTTTTACAGGTTTGCAGTTAAAATTAACAGTTAAGAACCTAACATGCATGCAGTAAGCTATATCAGCCTAATTCCAAATCTTCTGTGTTGGCAGTTCTGGCACATCCATTGCCAGCAATGGGATGCACAATAAGGTAACTCCCTGATGACTGGAGTCAGGTTAACAGGTATTAAGCTGTACCCAGGTGCCTTTACTGATAAATACACACAATTTAATGATTGACATTCAGTAATGAAAACATGCGTTCCTATAAAAAAAAAATCAAACTTATCTTTTCATATCCTGCCCTTATAGAATTACTTTAGGTTTACAATTTCCAGATTTCTAGAATACACAATAATCAGGGGGATACATAACAGGAAGCCAGTTTTCAGAGAAAGTTGCACAGTGAGTCCATCCCAGTAACTTCATTAGCTGAAGGAAGAAAGCAAACATGAAAAAAAAGTGAGACGCTCATGGATCATATTCTTCAATTTAAGTCCTTCCAACACACATTGGATTGACATTAACAACTCACTAAGGATATCTGTAATCAGAAAGATAAGTCTGGAGAACTTGAATTTATTTAGATCTGAAAGGCTTTCAATTAAACATACAAATATTTGATGTGATTAAACTTTGTAAGAGGTACAGTAATTCCCATTAATTCTCTACCTACATGATACTAGTACTATTTGTGATTACTAACAGTAATGATAACAGAAGTTAAACACCCATATAATGATTTAAATATGCAGAAGAGTTTTGGTAAATACTCTAGGAAAAATGAAAGAAGAAACTGCATTAAAAAAATGGGACCAAACATCAAAAGCTTGAATAAGGTTAACATTTTGAGTCCTACAATATAAATATAACAAAGATTACACCTCCTATGTTTGAACATTTACTCAGCATTAATACAGACCATCGTTTTACTAAACACAATTTACCTGAATGCAGTTTTTCAGGTTGTCTTTTGTTGGCTTTTCTTCCGCAAGTTTTGTTGCAAACTTGAGACCTCTCCCATACATTTTGTTCACCAATGCATGCTTATAGGCAAAAGTCAAAACCTACAATGTGAAAATAGAACAGTTTAGATATTAAAATACTTGTCTCTTACAAGGCTTAACAAATAATAGCAGATTCTCTTCAGGAAGTAGAAGCGATTTAAAGCAAAACATTTACATGAAACAGATTACATTTTTTTTTGCAGGAAAACAGATGATGCCCAGTAGCAGTTATAAACAAGAACATCCTAGAAACTACTTATGACTTCATGAACATATCTGACTTCAGAACATTTTATGCAATACAGACATCATTATTCCAATTCTTTAGTCATCACATTTCTAGGTTCTTTGATTTTTCATTTGCTAGAGGCAACTGCATGGTAAAAAGTAGTTTAAACAAAATAAAATCATCAAGAACCAGGCAGACGTATCTTTGATCCACAGAAACAAAGACCCCATTAAGAGCGTTGGTTCGCAGGAAATAAGCTTACTGCAGAAACAAATATGAACATATATATTGAATGATATATGTGTGTGTATATATATATATGTATACATACAGAGGTATGCACATAGTCATAAACAGGCAATGAAGACAGGTAAGCATGAAGACAAACCTCAGATTCTGGTCAACTCCTCAACACTATTAAGAATAGATTATAAGAAAACTTCCTCTTGATACTACAAATTCCAAAGATAGAGTTCAAATACCTGACAATGCTGCAACTAGCGTTTGTAAATTAATGTGTTTACTTCAGAGATAATGTGAAATAAATCAGGTTCTGAACACGGTAACAGTGTTCAGTTTTGCAAGGTGGTTCATACTATTTCACACATCATTAAGAACTAGTGATGAATCAGGACACTTTCATCTATTTCCTTTGGAATGCTCACAGTAATTTTTTTAAATTTATTTATTTTTTTTTTTTTTATAAGAGCGACAGCACCCAAGTTGGAGAACGTGACATTGCATTAAAACTGTACTAAAAATAATAGTAACCTGGTATTAGAGTTCGCAATTCATTTTCCCCTCAGTCAGTGCAATGATTTTCCTTTCCTCTGATTCCTCAAATGAAAGTCAGTTTTCCAACAATGTATACTTAAAATTCACCATTGAGAAGCCAACTAAAAAAATACCTCAAGGATGTTCAGAAATAAATATTTTGCATGATAAAGATTTAAAATATTTTCTACTAATAAAATATTAAGGAATCCAATATTCCTATCCTGCAAGGACTGAAGATCCTGCCTCATTTTAGCTAACTGAACACTACTCCTGAAAGTTAACTGACATGCAATATTTTGCAGTATCTGTACCTGAAAGACAGAGCTAGAAAAGGAAGTGGCACACCTAATTATCATGGAAGTGAAGGTACAGTTTTCAAGCTCTGAAGAGCCAAGTACTTCATATGCCAAGCACTCAAGCACTGTCCATTCTTCTTCTGTCTCCCACTATTATTTGGTTATGTTGAAGTATTCACTTAAGCTGCAATAGCTTTTGAATACAATTTGTACTAGTTAAAGCACACACACATATGCAACAATGAGCATAGAGCACCATTCACATACAAATCTTTCCAAATATTGCTATTGGAAAAGTACTTTGCATGCTGCATTCTCAATCCAAACACTTCTGAACAACTGCTCAGTGGATCCATCAGCAGACTCAATTGATTAAACTAAACTTAAAGAAGTAAAATGAAGAACAAAAATCCTTTCTGAAAGTATGATAGAACCACAAACCAAACCAAAAACAAAACAAAATTAAGTGAGAGATGCATTGGAGCTTTCAGCAAATATAACATAATAAAGGCTAACCAGAAATAATGTCACTGCTCTATTAAGAAAGCTCTTACCTGACCCTGTCAGTTTTGAATGGTTACTGAACATCAGTGATAAAGGCAGGATGAAAGCCACTTGACAGCATTTCTTTCGTAACAGGGCTTCCTAGAGTTTTTGTGGCAAGAAAACAAAGTATTTTACGAAACACCCTTACTCTAGCCAAATAAAAGTTTGGGTATTTCTAAATGAGGAAAAAAAAAAATCTCTCAAGGATCAAAAGGTTGAAACAATGCTCCAAGACCTTTTGATAAAAGATCATTTCTATGTGCTTGAAAAACAAACAAACAAAAAAAAACCCAGTCAGCTGTAAACAAGTAAAAATACTAAAAGTTTGCTAGCACTTCAGAAGTTAAGAATAATGCATGAAATGCTTTAAAATCAGTTAGATTACCAAGCAAAGATTTAAGAAATAATACTTCATTACTTGTGCATATATTGATCAAATTAAGCCTTATAAATTACAATATTGCAAGCTTTACAGTATCACAGAACTGGAGGTCATTCCTTGATGTGTGTAAACAATAAAAACAGGAATGCTATTAAGACATAACCAACAGCTGCTATCAGATTGTATACAACAGCAAATAAACAAATCTATAGTGTACAAAACAGCTGCTAGATGTAAGAATAGGAATGAATTCTAAATGCTTCATATTATTTTATAATTTCAATAAATACAAGGCCAGCTTTTACAGAACAAATGATATAGATGAGAAATTGACCAAAGAGCTGTATCAAGGGAAACAAAAAACAATATGCACTTTTAGGATGCTTTGGGATTGGAAAATAAATGTCAGCTCCTACGTTCCCAAGCTAATGGCCTGTAATAATAAGTGTACTGAAAGCCAGACCCACAGAAATAGTTGGTAATTGCCTAACTTGCTGACAGCTACAAAAAGATGCATATACTTTGGAGGATAAAGTTCTGAAATGATCTCTCAAGACATTTGCATGGCTACAGTATTTTCAAATCTGAAAATGCTCCTTGAAAACCAGCACACTTAAGATCCACCAATACTCAACAATTACCTAATGAAAACCTTTCTGGGATCTTAATACCAATATTTAGCAAAAAGAAAAGAGACTTGTATAATTAGTTACTTCATTATATGAACTGTTTTGATTAAAATGTACCTACAATAACAAATAATTAAAATGCTACATTACACAACGCCTATAGACAACACAACTCACTGTAAGAATTATAAGCATGACAGCTTCAGTATTATCAGGGAGTGAGCTTCTTCAGGCTCAAATATAGCTATGGGAATAAACTAAGGTTTCTCAGCTTCTTACGTTGACTCACTGCTCAATCAAATATTACAAACAAAAGCAATATTCATACAAAAATTGACTTATCTTATTTTCAGAGAGGGAAGGGAGTTCATGGAATCAAGTGCACAGCAACAACCTTTTGGCAGTGACTGAGTATGATCTGCTGGAACAGACAGCTGCATCTGACAGTAATATGAAAAACACTCCAGGCCAAAGATGCTTAAAAGGCAGGATGGAAAGGTCTGGGTATTTTATCTGTTTGCTTATTTTTAAACATGACTTTTTGCTTAACCTTTGGATTAGCTGTTAGGGATAAGGGGAGTTAAATTCTATAGACGAGTCAATGTCAGCAAGAAATAGGTAAATCCTACTACTCTCCTGCAGAAGTTTTGTTTAACTCTGGTCATTTTGGCCTGGAAAGTGTACAGATACGATCAGGTAAATAAAAAAACAAAGTTTATACTTCAATACTAAAAAAATACTAAAGCACCATCACAAATGTGCCTGCATAATCAAACAAATACCTGCTGAACAGAGCTATCTCAACTGTGGTATATTCAAATTCCTTTTCTATATAGAATACATATTTTCTTTCATGCATCATTTAA